TCCTTGGCCAGCAAGAAGTCCAGATCTCAACCCTATAGCTATACTTTTAGCATCACGTGGGATATCTGCCATGCTATATTAAACTCATTCTGAGATATTGTCATCTTTATTCTTCTACATGTCCGGCAATTTCTTGTCCCACCTACGGGTTTTCTCCAGTCGTTTTGTATGCTCAATGCTGTTTGGGATTCTTGATCGATCTGTCCCACTTCAATCACTTTTTGGGTGTTCTCCATTTTCATATGTAGTCTTTGATCACATTTGGGTTTGCTATTTCTGCATGTCTGGGAATGCCGACAATACACATTCTTATTTTCCATTTTTCGAGATGCTATCTTAAGTTATTTCACCATGTGAAATCCAGTCCCAGTTTCATGCCTCACTCTTTGGACTTGTGTTGGTACCATATGTCTTTTGTGGGGTGGTCTGCATTTTACCAGACTTCCACATTTTGGGGGATTTTCCTACATCATTCATTGGATGTCTAGCTTTGGTTAACTCCTTCTAAATAAGGGTTGTCTTAACATACTCATATACTCCTTCCACAGCCAGCTCAGGCAGTTGGATTTTCCAGTTGGATTTTTTTTCCTGTTCCATACCTCACATTCTCGTTTCTTTGGGGTGGATATTTTTAAACACTCCTCCATTGGGATCATCCATTTGATTTTCCTTTTAATTTTTTTTCACCTCTTCGTTTATGTGTGTTCATAGATGACCGTATCCTCTACGACGTCGGGTTTCTCACTTCCTCCCCCTCTTCTGGGTTATTTCTCTTCCCTGATGCTCATCTCCAATGGTTTGGAATGTGGTTTGATCTGTAAAAAGCTTCATGACTATGGTTTCCAGGTGAAAGGTCTTATTCCCTTCACTCCCTGGCTCTTCCACCAGTCCAATGTGTTTTTGTTCACTCTCTTTATTTTGTCCGGACTTGACTAATCATGTTTCATTTCGACTATTCGATGGTGGAGGATTTTATCACTTGCTGAGGGGATGTTCATTCTTGTTCCTTTCGTGGTAGACAGTGGATCTCTCTTTTTGAACCCACACACTTTAACATATGTCTCCTGATGGGGTAATTTTCCAGGTATTTTTGTCCTTGTTGCTGATTGACTTTCCAGTCACGTCATATTTTCTCGAGCCTCCAAACCTGTGGGGTACTCCTACACGTGAAGTTTTTGATATATTTATCAATTCCCAGGTAATTACCTCATTTGTCTTTGGTCTCTAGTTCATCATCCACTTGCCCTGGCTGTCAATATGTTCAGACATAATTACATCCAGTTTATAACATTAGTTTATTCTTCTTCCATCAGTTTTTTTTTTCAAAATGTTTGTTCATCCATGTCATTCCAGTTCAAGTCTTTCTGGTTGATTTCCTGGCCAACATAAATCTGTTGTTCTCTGCTGTTTTGATTCGATTGTTTTCTTTGTTCTGGGTAGTTTTTATTAACCTACGTGTCTCGTGGTATATTCATTTTGACTTTTCCATTTCTTACCATCTTCCACATTTCTTCTTGGTCGGTTCCAGATGACCTTTTTGATCCAGTATATGCTTTGAGTTCATTGTTTTCAAGGTTTTTCCCATTGCATCCATTTCCCACGATTTCCTTCCCTTACACCACTGCTTTCTCTGTGATTATTTTTTTTCTTCCTCTCTGATTAATTGGGTTTGGATTGTGATTTGATTGGCATTTTATTCCTTGTATACTTCTTCCTATTATCAATTCCTGATGTCTCCAATCCAATCATGCACATTCCCTTTTCCCTGCATATCAAACCTGTCATCCATTGGAGGTATTTCGTCTGTCGAGCTCTGGGACCATACCTCATATGTTCATCTCCCATTCTCTACTTTGGGTAGATGTTTCTTCCTTGTCAGGGTACTGTCATCCACCTGTTCCATTCTTCACTCTTTCATGAAACTGTGACTGGGAAAGTTACCTTTTAGTATATATACCTCTTATTTTTCAGGGGCATGTCCCTCTTTTTACTGTATGGATCCTTGTAATATATTTACTTAATTAATATGCCCGCACCAGACCTTACTCACCCATGGACTTCATAGGTAAAGCAAAAGGGGATAGTTGCCCATCTCTGCCATGCCCTGTATTGAATAAATCGGTATGGTCTGCTTTTCAAAATAGGATTTCATGGTCACCCATTGCACTGTTTCTCCAGACTCTCCACTGTGCTTTCTCCCCCTTTTCTTCTAGTAGAGGTTGAGAGTCCTTACCACTTTCCAGTTGCAAGCTGCTGTGGTGGTGGACCATGGAGGCATCCTCCTGAATGTTTTAACCCGTTACTTGCCGTGGCCATTTTGTCTTATTGTGAGGGCAAAATCACACTTGTGAATTGAAAAAAAATGATACAGAACTTATCTTTTAATGGATTTCAGATTTTATTTTGTAAATAGTAGCATAACATTCAATTATTTTTACAAAATTGTATTATTTAATGAAGTTTAAAGAGGAATTTAATGAAAAAATTCCTAAAATACGTTTTAGACTGTAAGTATGCACCCTCTAAGAAGAAATTTTTTTTCAAAAATTTTTTAAGATATTTCTTTTCACTGGTCCTGCCATTTATGATTGGTATCTAAACCTTTTTCTAGTCTGTTTTCTTTATAAAACTGCGTCTGGGCGTGTTACACCTCAGTTGTAAAACTTTTAGCCAATCCTAGTCAAAGGTGTAAATTTTGGTACCATGTTATTCCAATTGCTGTATCACACATT